TACATCCTCTCACAAAAACAGAAATTTTAAAATTAATCTACTTTTGCTTACTTCCAGTTGATCACGTCATGTGGAATTATTTTCTGCGGAAACTCAACAGACAGCAAAAATGTATTTTACATTCGAAATAAAATTATTAGAATAATGGCAGGCACTAAAGTGAGAGTCTTATGTATGAAAATTTAATACTCTTCCACTAGCTAGCAAATTCTTGCTCTCATTATCATCATCTATAGTGTACAACATAGAAAATCTTCTAACAAACTCAGACATCAACAATATAAGTACAAGATACGAATATAATCTTCATATGGAAAATACTGGAGTCAGCAAATATGAAAAAGGAGTTTACAATACTGGAATTAAGCTATTCAATAATCTTCCCCCACCCCCATTATAAAAAGTCTGAAGTTTAAACCAGCATAAAAAGAGTACCTTCTGTCTCACTCCTTGTACTGTATAAAAGAATTTGCCTCAACCCAAAATTCTCAGTTATTAAAAATACATGTAGCTAATAGTGATTATGCTTTTTTGTGTAATTACTTTTGCAGTAATACTGTAATTGACTGTAAATTACTGTCATAACTAAGTCATTTGTATTTACATTAGCCACAAGTGTTGTATTTGTGCCATAACACATTTACATCTTTAGCTTGGGCCTATAAAGGATCTATGGAAAGTAAATAAATTTTATTCTACTCTTTGCTATAGAAGAGTTGAAGAAATAATTGCAACAAAAAACTTTGAAAATGGCAAATTGTCATCACTCAATAAATATGTGGAAAAATGACTGGGCTAACAATTGGTGGTGGCTTCTGTTTTGATTTAATCCTCCACCAAAGTAATTAAAGGCTTGCATATATGATTAATTCATGCCACTATAAGGCCCTTCCTTCTTTAAACATAATGTCTTTATTCTTCATGTAGAGAAACATCTGCTATATACAATTGTACAAGAGTTCGTGTATTGTCTAAATTGAGTTAGTTACCATCGTCTTATGAATTGTATGATTTAATATGAATTAATTTCTTTGCCACTGATGATGACCTCTTGAGGTCAAAACGCGTTTGGGACTAAGTGTCTTTTCAAAGTGTAAACAGTTTTATTTGTGTGCATGATTTTAATTCATATTAAATCATACAATTCATAAGACGATGGTAACTAACTCAATTTAGACAATACACCAACTCTTGTACAATTAACGTCCAGTGTGGTATTATATAAAGTATGGTTTTATAAAGTGTGACCTTTTATGCTTTATAACAAACCATCGTCTTATGAGCTGTATGATTTAATATGAATTAATTTCTTTGCCACAGATGATGACCACTTGAGGTCGAAAAGCGTTTGGCACTAAGTGTCTTTTCAAAGTGTAAACAGTTTTGTTTGTATGCATGATTTTATATATTTAAGGTTAAAAGAAATCTGCTATATTTTGCAGATATATTTATGTGGTCTCAGAGACGCATCAAGAAATAATTTGTTGTGTCCTGCTCTTTCTGTTTCTTTCCCATCGATTTCATCAATATCCTGCCTTTGTTTTACAGTTTTTTCTAACATAGTGTCTTTGATGGCGTGTTTTCTGGTTTTCTGAAAAGACAAGTGGGTAGACTCCATATATTCTGCTAACCACCCTGTTCTCAAAAAGTGTCAACCTTATATGATTCCCTTAAAGAAATAAACAAACTTTCACACCTGTGGGTTTTTGTATGTTCATTGAATTTTCTGCATCACTGTCAGTGCAAGTATAATTATGTTCCTAGAGCTGTCAACTCCTTACGAACTTAAACAGAAATAAATTTTAGGTGTCTTTCCACATTCGCTGCATTCATCACAAGTTAAGCAACAATGTAAACCACATCCCTTGAGATTCCCATTTGGTGAGAGACGAACCAAAATCTCCATAGTTATTTGCATTCATTTTCTTCTTCTTATTTTTCCGGTTTAACAATGTTTGTGCCATTTCCAGTACCCTTTAGGGTCCCCAACTTTTTCAGTTGGCTTGATCTATGGACATTCGGTAGGACTCCTTGGACGAGGGATCGGCCCGTCGCAAGGCATTCATTTTCTTAAGCTCTATTGAAAGTTGCCTCTGAAATGTTACCAATTGATCTTGGTCATTTTGTCTACAACATCAATAAATATGTAAATGGATTTCATTGAATGTATGTTTGGGTTTTCTGCCTGAAAGTGATAACTTATTACATAAATGCAAATGATAGCATAATAGACGATGAGCAAGTGATAGTGATATTGTGTAATAAATGATAATGATTATGAAACTCAAAATGCATTTACGTTAACTTTTACAACATTAATCAAATATAAATAATACATTAAATAGTAGCACAATTTATGCTTGCAAGAATATTCAAATTCAGCGGCCACTTCTTCCCATGTTATTAATTTAAACTGTTTGACAATTTCTGTCACTCTGTTCCCAAAACAAAAGCCTTACACACATGGTATTAATTAGAATTTCACAATCAAAGCACTTGCACTTACTGTAACATTGAAAAACCTCAACAAGAACACTAATGCATGGTATTGTGCAACAGAAAAGATCGTCAGATGGTGGATAAAACATCTGCCTACTGTGTCAAGAAACTCGGATAGGTGCAGTGTGAACGAGGCCTACGAAATATCAACAGACACGGTCGAAACTACTTTAATATTCATTCGATAAGTCATTTTAATTAGTTGAAGTGTGGCATGGGCCAACAGAAATGTGATCAGTGAATAATGATCATGGAACCTAACAAATTCATTTTCTTTTTTTAGTTTTCACTCAAAGTGGCAAACAGTATTATTTTGAAGATTTCTGTCCTCTGAGTTGTCAGGCCATGTAGTATGGTAGATGTTTACCTACGTTTCAGAGGTCATACTGCCTCTGTTATCAGGGTGATGAATTGGGCCATTTGAGTGGAGAGGGCTAGGTTTATAGGGACCTGACAGTGAATGGAGTAGCCTACTCCTAGCCAATGGGAGCAGGTGTCAAATCAGGCATGGGTGGGGACCAATTTGTTGAGATGAACCACCCAGTGATACAAATATTGTGAAACTTTAATGGGGAAGCATTAAAACTGTGTAGAGTCAAGAGAAAACTGGCAACTGTAAAGCCAAATATGGGCTGTATAAATCTCTGGATGATCTTTAAAATCAATCTGGACACACCAAAATGTAGCGTGTGTTTTCAAATCTTAATCACTAAGTTAACACCAGATGAGCATTCTGATGCCGTGGTATGATTCACACCTACATATGGAGGATTTCTGTAATGTTCAGAAATTTTTCATAAAATATACAGAACTTTTCCTGTAATATAAAAAATGACTTAACAAATTATACAATTGCAGTTACATTTTTTCCTTATCAGTGAGCACTGAACATAGGCCTAGATCAAATCGCATCATATTCTGCATTTACAAAATCCTTTATCAGCAGTACATAAATAATGCAACAGGTATGAAATTACTCGGTGATTGTGGTAATTTTAATAGTTTCATTTAGATACTTGAGGTTCCCATGGTGATGTAGATACACAACAGTTCTTCACCATATGCACAAAACGGTCGTGTTCTACTATTGAATCAAACCAAAGAAATTCCGCTGAACACAAGGCTGCAACCACTTTGTTAGCAAGAACAGGAACTAACCAACTAACTCCTTGGTAGCAGAACCTTCAGGTCAAAAACTGATACACCAAAGCCGGCCATCGGATTCTATCCTGAGCTAACTCCATCCATTTACTATCCTCAAAGCCCATCTCCCTAAGATCCATCTTTATATTATCCTCTCATCTCCTTCTCGATCTGGATTTTTGAAGGGTCGTATTTTGGTTATGCTTCTACGTCCATGCAGAGTAATTAATCCAATCACAAAGATCAAATTAATGAATGTACAGTACAGTGCCGATTATCTGACATTCCATTTTTTTCAATTCAGCATGCAGTGGAATAAATCATTCTCCCCCACCACGCACCTACTACATTTTATGCTACAGGTGCACTATTGCAGGAGCCAGCTTAACCTTGCCTCAGTGAAGAGGATGAAAGCTCAGAAGCAAATACCCATTACTACTTTCTTCAAATTTTCATTTTCAAAAATTACATTGTTAAATACAATTTTTGTTAAAGAGATTTTTTTCATTGGTGGTGCACTGTACATTCTTCGCAATTTAATAAAGTACACTGAGTTATATTAACTGACATTTTTGATTGGGCGACAGTCCTTCGCCCCATTCAATTCGGATAATCGGGACCCTACTGCAGAGTACCAATTTCTTCTTGCTCACTTCCTTTTTCTTTGTTCTTTAACAAAGCATGATGCCATGACTGCTCATAATATTCGTTATTACGCGGTCTTTACGCGGAGTGCAATGCGAAAACGCATTATGAACTGGTTGTGTCCATCCGTCTGCCTAGTCGATTCAACTTTAAGTTGAATCCACTGGACAGATTTGCATTAAATTTGATGTGAAGGTTGTGCTGTTCTGCAAAGCAAGTTCAGCCGTCCCACTACACGCCATGTACGCGCTTTGGGGGAGAGGCGGTACAGCTCCTACTCATTCTCGACCTCGGCACTAGATGGGGGTGAGTGGAAAGGATCCCGGTACCCATTGGAGAGGAGGCTGGGTAAGCCCCAAAACCGGTCTGGACGCAGAGGTTAGAGGAAAAATCCTCTGCACAACCTCAAATTCGTGATTATAAATAATCTACGAGCTGTAATAAAATTACGGATGAGGCAAGTCGTAGGCATTGAGGTGCTGCTATCTGGTGGATCGAAGAACTTCTACATGCACTTTGCAAAGAACGCAGAAGAATATCACGTGCATTCCGGTACGGAACACACTTTCTGAGCTTGTTTGAACCGATGTGGGCATTTTTAGGTCTTCCGGTTCAACTGGTTTAGATAATTCCCGGCAGGCATACTCTGTGTGTTCGAAAGTGAGCTTAAAACTTGAATACCCGCTGGGCCGAACACGGCATTAATGACTTACCAGTCCAGTCTGCCGACCCGGTCACCCTGGGCTGCTGGAAAATGCCCATGAAGGCGGTGTCTGCGCAGGAAGGGCCTGCCATCGTAAGCTCTTGCGTATCTGGAATCTCGGTCTTGACATGCACCGGCTTCTCCACACAGACGGCTGCAACAGACCGAAACAGCATTCAGCCCTCAGTTCTTACAAATCTGGAAGAATTACTACTGAATACGACATCCCTCTGACACTGAATGCTTCGACGGACTGTCCTGAAGACAAGTGCGTGTTCCTACATCCAGACAGAGGTCCTCTGAACGACCATAACTTATGAGAATTTCTGCCAAACGGCCTTAATGAGATTTAAAAAGAGCCGTGCATTGCCTTGTGTTGTCGCGGTTCTGGCAAGTGCTTCTCCCTCGTATCGGGTTAGATCTGCGGTTAAGTTTCCAAAAAGATTATAACATTCCTTACTTCCTTGTCACAGTTCATTGCCTCCTGGTTTTTATAAAATCTGTGAAAATGCCCACAACACATTGCGCCGCCAGCAGTCTCCAGTGTACGGCAGTTTTCGAATAGGGCATGCAGTGGAAGTCACATTTCGTGAGTTTCCGAGTTGCCGCTCCCAGCGGACTTATCGTGGAGCGCTATTAGTACCAACTATCGTAAAAAAACATTCATTACAGACTACCAGAAGAGTAACTGAGCAAGAAAATTAACACGTCAGCCAGCATCCGGTACAACAACAACGCAGAAGACCACCTCCTAGTTAACACGTCAGCCAGTATCCGGTACAACAACGCAGAAGACCACCTCCTATTGCAGACTGCGATTACAGCAGCAATCAAGTTGCAACACAGCACTTCGCGATCAGTATTAGCACTGCTGCTAGTCATTTAAATCAAGCCCAGTCATTATTTACCTCATTAATCGTCAGTGAGCCGTGACTGATCTCGGAAGCCCTTCATTTGGGGAGAACCAAGCACATTAACTGCACATGTATTACCTTGGTTTGACGGGCGAATGTGGAAACGATTAACACGCTCAGCTATCACCGTCCGCCATCGTGCGAATTCGACGGCGTCAATGTCGGGCGCGTGGTTATGGTTGACGGTGACGCGCGGGTCCCCGAAATCGGGGCTCGTGAAAATACTGCCCTTACACTGCGTGGACCGCTGAACACAGCGCCACCGGATTTTGTCTCCGATGGCTTTGTGCTTGGTGTACATGAACCCAAGGTGGATCACCTTGTGGTGCCCCTTGTTGGACTTGATGACCTCGAGACTCGTCACTGCGAACAAGCAAAGAGCAATACCCAAAACTACCTGACAGTCATTTACAATTGCTCTTTCTTTCTGCACGTGACCTACGCAGGCGCACCGCGGTCTGGTCTGCAATGCCATCTCTCATATCGTCCCGTAACCAACAGACAACTGTCTCTCGCTAGAGCCACACACACTGCGCAGATCGAGTTCTGTTGCCACATGTAAATACTTTAATTACAGCGTGTAAAATGTTCAAAGTAAGTAAAATATTTCGCGGCTTAAATCCGGAAACTGCTGTTACTTTCGACTTCAGAGATCGGACATAAAATGTCAGTGTACGGTGTTAAAAGGGGTACGACGAAAAAATTCTTACACAATTACAATGACGCGTATCTTCGGCCGATGAATGAAGGACGTAGCGAAGAGTCGATGCGGCAACAAAGGCAGTTCAGAAACTGCAATGTCTGTGTCGCTACAGCTGAGATATGCCATTCAAGAAGCATTTTAAATCTACGTGCCTTTCTGACTACATGGAACAGAATCCTTCTCGAGAAGCTGATAGTAGTCTGAAAGAAATTATTCGATTGTTATGAAAACCGAAGGTTTGTTACATAGTAGTCTGAAAGAAATTATTCGATTTTTATGAAAACCGAAGGTTTGTTAGTAAATTCACAACAGTCCGCCACTATACTCCAAAGATCCAATACAATCCATCAACACCGTCACTCCATTTTTAAGATTCACTGAACATCACGCCCGAGCGGTTAGCGCCTCGTGATTCGTATTCGGGAGGTCCAGGTTTCAAATATCGGCCCGGAAATATATTGTATGAAATATTTCTCCCTTTCCCAGGTCACTTTGGGCAAAAGCAATTACAGTACCGTAAAGTAGGCCACGTCCCATGTCGTAGATTTACGGCATGTAAAAGAACCTTACGAGCATGATACGAGATGTTTCATAAGCCAAATTCACCGGCCATTTCTCACACCCTAGTCTCCTGATTCAATGTTAGATGGCTCTGGCAATCAAATCAGGATTGAGTAGAAATTGTGCAGAGGCAGTGGGTCGGTCATTTCACTGCTCACAAATGCACACTCCAAGACTAGGACACCTCCGTAGAGACGGCCAAGACCCACACCGGGTTGTAGAGCCACTGATGATAAAAGTAGGCCACGACAGGTTCTGTTCATATCTGTTCCAGTTCGTGGCTTAACTTATTAATAATAACAATCTTCACATTAGACGCAACAGATTATGAAAATAATCGTCATAAGACTGCATCGACTTTAATCTTCTTGTGACTTCAAGGATGCTTAATTTGTTACTTTCGTTCCTAAATACTCAAACTCTGCCACATTTTCGACGAGTTTATTCGCTAACTTTATGTTATCACTCTTCCCGCATTCTGATGACGAAACAAGAGCCATGCACTTCCATAGAGACCACACGTTATCTAAACGCGTCTGGTATAGGTTACCCTATTTGCTTTAATATACAGGATATCCGAAAAAGAGTGCACACATTTTAAACATTTTTATTGAGAAAATAAACAGAGCTAGAAGAGTACAGTTTTCACCACATGAAACAGCAACTCAGAAAGTTTTTTCCCCCATCTTTCTCAATTTCACTGCACTTCGACCTGAGCTCGTGTTCTTCATCGCACAATGTCCATCCGATATTCAAATGCCCGGAAAGATTGTCACATATTTGAGGCGTGATTCCTTTCACAGAATGGACGATGCGGTTTTTCAAATGTTGCAAACAACTGACGTGTGCGGTACACCTGGTCCTTTGTGTACCCCCAAAGGAAGAAATCCATGGGCGTTGAATCCGGCGATCTTGCAGAGCATGCAACGGCCTCACCTCTTCCAAACCAACTTGTGGGAAACGTTGCGTGGGGAGAAAACTTTCTGAGTTGCTGTTTCATGTGGTGAAAACTGTACTCTCCTAGCTCTGTTTCTTTTCTCAACTGTACTCTCCTAGCTCTGTTTCTTTCCTCAACAATTTTTTTTAAAATGTGTGCACTATTTCTCGGACATTCTGTATAATGGCATGCGGTAGATCGTAACAGATGTACCACTTTACAGAGTAAACCATAATTGCTGTTAACCACATTTGAAAATAAATAAGAGTTTTATAGTTTGATGAGAACATTCTATTCACTGAACCAATCTTTCTATAAAAGTAGACCTTTTTATAAACAATATCAAGTCGAGTTTGGCGTTACTTAAATCAGAGGTTGTACTGGGCTATTACAGACCCAAATTCCACTTTTACATTTAACCGAAAACCCTTATGCAATTTCTATGATGAAACATGCGGATTACAGACAGAACCTCGTCACTGTGAGCTGCTGCAATCAAGATACTACGGGACCATAAAATGCCCATTTAAAAACAAATAAGGCATGTTACGTTTCTGCAAAATGCAGAATCGAATAAGCTTACAGTTGTTTCCTGTAAGATCCTTAATGGGGTACTGTCCCAGCAAATTTTTCAGGCCATATGAATCACTTCAAGAAGCACATCTCATTTCCATATGGCTATTATTATTTATTTTATTTAGTGTTCTGTCTGACGACAGGTCCATATGAACAGGATCCCTCCATCCTTTTCTCGGACTGGGACCTGTTCATATACGTTCTTGGCAGATGATCCAGAAGTGGTTTGCCATTGCCTTCTTCTGTGTGTGAATGGAGTAATTGTTGGGATGCCACGGAGGAAACCTCCGTGTTGCCTAGACCACGGTCTTGCCCAACACAAGTTATAAATTCGGGCGCCGCCGGGAATCGAACCCGGGACCCCAGGATTACAAGGCCAGCGTTCTAACCGCTAGACCACCGTGGCGGTTCCATAGGGTTACGGTAACTTTAAAGTTGTCCCACCGTAGACAGATTTAAAATGGCTGCCCACTAATTTTTTCTTCCTTTGACGATCTACATGTTCTGCCCATCGTTACCTCTTGGACGATAACGCCCTAAATGACAAACGTACGTCGCAACCGAATAGTTACAATAATTCTGCTTCGTGTTTGGGATATCTCGAATTCAAGTCTCGGTATGAAGGCCGGTTAAATTGACTGAGACTTCTCGTGATTTTCCTCAGTTAATCAAAGCAAATGCCGGGGTAGTATCTTAAAATAGGCCACGAACGGTTAATTCCATATCCTTTCCAGTTCATCATTCACCAATCCTTCAACGCCATAAAATCCGAACCGTTGTCAGCATCGTTAAATACACAACTACTAGTAATTTTAAAAAAATTCAAACGTTCCTAGCTGACTAATTTCCATAATTTACAATTTTACATTTTCACCGCTGATTTAACGCTTCAGAGGAACGTGTCGTCCACATCTTCAGGGTTTCTCTTCAATCCTAAAGATGTCGTTCCGAAACGACGATAAAATTTCCAAGCCTATAACTACGGCGTCACACAACTCACAGGAGCACAACAGACAATGTACTGTAAGCTACCGATCCTACTTATCTGTGACAGTTTAGCTTGCATAGGCCCATCATCCGTGTTTCTTGACAAAGTTCTTTGTAATGACAGCAAAACTGAGGACTCGTGCGTATTATATGCGACTATAAGTCGTGGCATATCACAAAATGTTCCGGTTAGTTCTGCAAATACGAAACTCCTTGATTTCAGACCTCAGTCGCGAGTGTAAGAACAAGTGTCATATGAAAATAGTTATCACTGTTTCAGATTTCAGAATCTGTAAGGGAGGGGGCTTAGCCTCATCGCCCCAATGCACACTTCGCCACTAACAACACAGCACGATGCACGTGGACTGACTGGGACTCGAACCCGGCTAGTTTAGTGCAGTGGGTTGTTGCTGTTGGCTGACGTAGTCGTACAGAAAACGGCTTCGAGCGCCGTGCGCTGGGTGCCATGTTGGCAGCAAAGAGAGAGAGAGATAGAGGGAGAAAGAGTGACATTACAGAACACGTGACATTGCAGACCAAACCGATCGAAGTCAGAGCGGTGCCATTTTGTGCCTTTGTCTAACAAATGAACAACACAACGCACAAATACTCACTGTTTCCAGTAATGTGTGTGAGTCTTTCTGCAAGATCGGTACTTGCAATCACAACGGTTTATTCACATACAGCACTGCAGCTCGGGTTCCAAGGATGCAGCGGGGACGAACTCAACGGCTTACGGAGGGGGAAATGGAAGCGGCGGGAAGGATAAGGTGAAATAATGGCAAAGCGTACAATCACGCACGAAAGCAGGACTATCTCTTCCCAATCGGGCCGCCGCTTGGCAGGGAACCGATACACATTCAATGAATACCTTAAAACAGTGTTTCAGATCAATTTGCTTTGCAACATTTTGCTTGAATCTGGTGTACCTAAGAAGCCAGTTAAAACGTGTTTAATTGAAACGTCTAGCAAAATTCATGTATGTATTTTGTCTTAGAAAATGCCATCAGGAGAGTCCAAGAAAATCAGGGGGGTTCAGAACTGAATGGGACACATTAGGTTTTGGTCTGTGATGATGATATTAGTCTGTTGGGAGATAATGTCACTATAAAAGCGAACATAGAAGCACTCTTAGCTAGTAGGGATGTTGGTCTAGAAATAAATTAAGAAAATACAAAGTACATTATCATGTCTCGGCATCAGAATCCAGGACAGAACCAGAATATAAGGATAGCAAACGAATCGTTCGGAAATGTGAAAAAATTAGTAATTGGGGACGACACTAACAAGCCAGAATGACGTTCATGACGAATCTAGAGCAGATAATTTAGAAATTGCTTGCTATCTATCACTCATTCCTAAATCTTTGGTCCTTTTGTCTCATAAAAAAAATAAAAATATACAGAAGTATAATTTTGCCATTTGTTGTGCATGGGTGCGAAACTTGGTATCTCACTTCGAGGGTCTTTGAGAACAGAGTGCTGAGGAGGACGTTTGGACCTAAAAGGGAGGAACGTGGATCATGGAGAAATGTTGATGATGACGAGCATCAAGGCCTGTACTCCTCAGCTGATATTGTCAGGGTGATTAAATCAAGGA